CACATGTAAGCTGGTGCTCACAGAGGCCAGGGAAGACAGTCAGAGCTCCTAGAGCTGGAGTTACAGATGACTGTGAGCCTCTGGACTTAGGTGTTGAAAACTAAAGGGAGTTTTGGAATGGGGTGGAAATTTCATCTCTATCAGTACATGTTGCATTACACTTTTTTATTGTGGTATTTAGGATTGAGAGTAGGACCTGGCCCGTGAAAGGCAAGCATCCTGCCACTGGACTATTTCCCTAATCCTATTGTTACTTCAGAGTTGGAGACAGGGTTCACCAATACATTGCAATTTTCTAGTCCACCCTGGAAACCTACTCATGTCTCTTGCAATTTATAAGATTTCTCTTTTATTCTTTTTTGTTTTATGAGACAGTGTTTCTCCATGGAACTTGGAGCCTGCACTGGAGCTCACACTACAGACCAGGCTGGCCTTGAACTCAGAGATCTGCCTGCCTTAGCCTCCTGAGTGCTGGGATTAAAGGTGTGTACCATCACCACCCAACTCACATACTTTAATAGTTTTTTAAATATATTGTATCTGACATTTTTCAGACGTTTTGAGTTTCTCAAATTAGCCAAAGGCATAACTAGTGGAAAAAAACCATTTCATTCTATTCCTTAATCCCGTCTAGGGAGGATAATTCACGATAGATTAAGTAAAATTGTTCTCCCAAGTCAAACACGTCTGGATTTCTCAAAGAATGCCATTTGATCATAGAATACTAATCTACTTGGCATAGTCAAAACAACCACCACACAACACGTCCCAAACACCTCCCAATGGTCTAATCGGCAATTAAAGAGTTCTGTCATTTCTCTTCCCATTGCTGCTTATTCTTCCCCAAGCAGACTTTTCATGCACATTAACTAATGCACGCACGTAGTTTTGGGTTCCCTCTTCCATGTCTTACTTTTTCTTTGGGTTTCAAATGTCTCCCTATAGGCTCACTCATTTAAACACTGGGTCCCCAGAAGGGGGTATTGTTTGGAGAGGTTATGGGGCCTTTGGAATAGTGGGGTCTGACAGGTAGACGTGGGCCACTGAGTGTTTGTCTTAAGGGTTGTATCAATACCCCTGCTTTTGGATCCACTTGGTGCTTCCAAATCCACAAAGACGTGAAGGTGTTTTATACACTCCCGCCACCAGGAGGCCACTCTACCACGTTTTATCTGCACCAAGAGAAATTAGAACATTCCATCCTATGACCTGCCATGAACCCTGATTCCCTTAACTCCCTTCTATCAGGTATTTCATCACAGTCACGGCAACAAGAAAAATCAAGAACGTACCTTTCTGTCCACAATTTGGGGTCCACTTTTCGACCCGAGGATATTCATCTCCTAGACCCACCCCAAACATCTTAACCATCTCCTGGCCCCAAGCCATAACTCCTTTCTTCCTCTCAGTCCCTGGTGTCTATGTTCTGAGTGGCTGCCCACCACATACCAAAACCCCAACACAGAGGTCAAGGTATGGAATTGTCCCTGGGAAAGGCTCGTTTGGAACCTGAGGTGAATAATCCTAGCCTCCATATTCTCGGGTATAGACAGATGTTAAGGATCCCTAGACAAGGCCTCTAACGTCAAGCTCAAAGAAACTCACAATAGTGACTTCAGGGCACTGTCCGGGAGACTCAGAGCCTGGCAGAGAACCTTCAGTCCTTCGTCCTGCAGGTCATTGGAGCTGACGTCTAGGTGGCTCAGGGTTTTGTTTCGCTTCAGAACATCAGAAAGGTAGTTCCAACACTGCTTACTGAGGGAGCAGCTAGCCAACCTGTGGGAAGGAAAAACTGGCCTGTGAATGGGGGGAGTGACATTTCCACAACATTCCACACAGCAACAAAACATACAAGCAAGACAAGAAACCCCTGGCTGATCATTTCCTCCGACTTATATCAGCTCTAGTGTGGAAACTGAAGAAAATTCACTGACAATGCTTGTTTGGAAGACCTTACCCGATGTTAACCTAAATCCTTTATAATAACAATGCCTCAATCACCTGGTTTTAATGACACTTTTTGTAACTATACGGCTGCTGTGATACAGACAAACACATCCATGTGGTCTTACATAACGAATAGTATAGCCAACCTGTGGGAAGGAAAAACTGGCCTGTGAATGGGGGGAGTGACATTTCCACAACATTCCACACAGCAACAAAACATACAAGCAAGACAAGAAACCCCTGGCTGATCATTTCCTCCAACTCATATCAGTCTAGTGTGGAACCTGAGGAAAATTCACTGACAATGCTTGTTTGGAAGACCTTACCCGATGTTAACCTAAATCCTTTATAATAACAATGCCTCAATCACCTGGTTTTAATGACACTTTTTGTAACTATACGGCTGCTGTGATACAGACAAACACATCCATGTGGTCTTACATAACGAATAGTATGAAAAATATGTGTATGTGCTTAAGTTTCATTTCTGTTGCTGTGACTAAAATAGCCTTACAAAAGCAACATTGGGAGCTGGGTGGTGGCGGTGCACACCTTTAATGCCAGAACTGGGGAGGCGAGGCAGATGGATCTCTGTGAGTTCCAGACCAGCCTGGTGGTCTACAGAGCAAGTTCTAGGACAGGCTTCAAAGTCACACAGAGAAACCCTGTCTTGAAAAACAGAACAGACAAACAATAAAAGCAACTTTGGGAAGAGAGGATATATTCACTATTCCAGATTACATTTCCTCATTAGGGGAAGCCGAGGCGGGGGGGGGAAGACAAAAACTTGGAAAAGCTGGCCCTTTGTCCAAATTGTTGCACGACACATTGAGATGCCTCAGCGTCTTGCTGCTGATCAGGGTGGAGGCAAAGATCTTGCAGTCGTCAGGGGAAAGCTGGCAGCCTGACAACCTGCAGGAAAAGAAGAATGTCATACTCTTCTCTGGCTCACAACACGTCCCCTTGCTGTCCCCATGAAGGTTTGGGACCTTCCAGAACTCCAAACTGTTCTTTCAAAAAGATTATTTTTAATGTGTGGGAGTGTCTGTCTGCATTATTGTATGAGCATCACATGTGTGCCTGGTACCCATAGGGGCCAGCAGGGGGCGTCATATGCACTAGAACTAGAATTACCAGTGGTTGTAAGCCATTCGATGTGGGTGCTGGGGCTTAAACCTGGTCCTCTGCATGAGGAGCAAGTATTCTTAACCACTGAGCTATCTTTGCAGCCCAGTTTTCAAAAAATACATATATTTATTGGTGTGTGTGTTTGGGTCGTGTGTGTTGAATGCCCTTGAGTTACCAGCTGTAATATACCCTATAGGCGTAAGCTGTGATGTGCTGTTTAAGCTTGCTGAAACTGAACTCTGGGCGTGAGGAGGGCTTCCCTGCCCCAGACTCCAGCATGTTTACTGCAAATATCCTCTGAGACTCCTTGTGCAGGGATGGACTGGCCCTTCTGGGTCTATAACAGGAAGAGGAGAGAGCGCTCACACAGTGTAAAAACACTGTGCTCCTGTAACAGCTGGAAAGTAAGCGAGTGCCAACCAAGGTTATTATTATTTACCCCGTACCCTGATCAAGGCAGGGTGGAGAGAATGCTCTACTCTGCCTAGAACTTTCAATGGGCAACTCCTTCGGGGCTGTCTCAGGGCTTTGCCAGTCGTCTCTGCTGGGTGAATGTAAGCACCTGTCTTGCTCATGCTATCTGTGGACATTACCTGTCTGCTATGATTTCTTCTTTCCTCAGGACCCCAAAAGGAATTCCCTGACTGCTTCAAAAGGTTTCCCTGGCCATTTTACAGTTTGTAGGCCCCCACTTGATGTTTTCTTTAGTTTTCTCTCTCATTGAACTATCCTAATCTCTGGTGGACACATCAGTGTCTGATCTGATGAAAATTTGCTAGTTATCAGTAACTTCTTTCTGCTACTTGCTAGTTTTTTGTTTTTAGTGAACCATTGAACATACACTTAGCAGTGAGAGTTCCGAGTTCTAAGGTATGTCAGGGCCCACAAAAACCAACAGAAGCAATGTGTTCCTGAGTGATTCCAACTATCTAGAAATTAACTTTCGCATTTCATCATCAATTTAATTTAAAAAAATTAAAAGTAGATGTATTTAGTTTCTATCTCATGTGTGAGCCTTTTCCTGCATGAATCTGCTCCGCATGCATACCTGGTGCCTGCAGAGGTCAGAAGACGGCATCAGATCCCCTGGAACTAGAGTTACAGAAGGCTGTGAACCACCAAATGGGTGCAGAGAATTGAACTCGGGTCCTCTGGAAGAGCAGTGTTTTCAACTCTTTAAGAATTACATTACCTAAGCCGGGCGTGGTAAAGGTGCACACCTTTACTCCCAGCACTCGGGAGGCAGAGGCAGGTGGATCTCTGTGAGTTCGAGACCAGCCTGGTTTACAAGAGCTAGTTCCAGCACAGCCTCCAAAGCCACAGGGTCCTCAGGAAGAGCAGTGTTTTAAACTCTTAAAGAATTACATTACTTATCGATTTGCAGGCCTGTGCCACAGCCTGCAGGTGGAGCCAAAGAGAGGAACTCGTGGAAGTCTATTCCCTCCTTTCTCCATGTGGGCCCTGGGGACTGAACCCAGGTTGCAGGGTTGGCAGCAATTGCCTTAACTCACTGATCCCTCTGTGTTCCTAGCTGTGATTGGTTTTTAAAGTGACTAAGATTGCCCAGGAATGGTAGAAGCTAGGGACAAACACCAAAGTGCACAAACTTTAAATTGTAGTCCTCCCGGGATGGTTTTCAGTGTCAGTTTGGCACACTCCACAATCACATGGAAAGGGAGTCTCAGTGAGGGATTTTGTACAAGGGCAATTTCTAGATGACTAAGGCGGCAAGCCCCGCCCACTGTGGGAGGCACCATGCCTCAAGAAAGATGATCCTGAATTGTCTACAAGGGGAGAAAGGTGGCTGAGCACTAGCCTGCTTACGTGTTTTTATTTTTGTCTTTTGTTTTTAAATCACACCAAGATGGATCAAAACCCGGATGCCTCTTTTGGTGGGAGTCAGCGAATTAGACAAACACAAAGACTTACAGGAGCTCTTCTATGTGACACCCTTTCTGGTTCAGAACTTCACACAACAGTTTGACATCGCTTCGGGAGAGAGAAGTGAGGCTGAGGTCCAGGTGATGCAGGTTGTGGTTCTGAGTCAGCAGCTCAAAGAACAGTTGGTTGTTGCACAAGAAGGACACGTTATTTACCCTGCAGAACAAACAAAGAGACCCATCAGTTCCCACCCAGCCTGAGCTCTGGTGTTTGATCACCTCCTATGTCCCCAAGTGACTCCAATTTCGTGACCCAGCCATACACCTCACTGGTTCTGCAACTGGTTGATTTTTCTCTTCCATGTGGAACTCTGAGAACTGTCTGGAGGCAAGGCTGGCTGTCACAAGAAGAAGAAGCTGCCAGCATCTAGAAAGAGGAGCCCACGCACACTCTGATTCTAAAATTCACGGAACATCCCCCCAGTGGAGAATGGTCAGCAACAGACATTAGTGGTGCCGAGCCGGCCAGACTCCATTTCTGCAGCTAAGCTGGGGGGGGGGGCGGGAGGCTTACTCCATTACTTCCTTGACATGACCGAACCAAAGTCGACCTTTTACTTACAGGAATTTACGAGGAGCACAGCTGGGATTCCTCAGGTGATTATGCAACTCCAAGAAGGCCAACTCGTTGAGATAAGTGTCTTTCACCTGCAGGACCTGGATTTGCTGACTGCTTCCAAGCACAGAACACAAATCTTGCCAACAGAGGAGCAGCTTTTTCCTGTAATGGAGGAGAAAGGCATGCATTCCATTGCTGAAATGTTAACTCAAGGGGCTGGAGAGTTGGCTCCTTGATCCAGAGTATCTGCTGTTTTCACAGAGGACCAGAGTTGAGTTCCCAGCCCTCACATGGTGGCTCACAACCATCCATAACTCCAATCCCAGGGCGATCACGCCCTCTTCTGGCCACCATGAGCACTGCACGCACATGGAGTCCCTGCACCCACGTAAGAAAAACAGTCCCCCACACAAAATAAACACAAATGAATGGGAAAACCTGCCAGTGCTTTTAGAGTCTACTCATTTACAAAACAATTAAGACAAGCCATTCACAGCACACAAATGCAGCAGCAAACTGACTCTCTGAACAAAGCAAGGGTAGTAAGTTCATGCTCGCAGTTCATAGTCAGACAGTGCACAAGGCCTGTGGGGATTCTGGTTATTATAGCTTTAGGGGACAGGTACAGCTCCTATCTATTGGGTAAAGGCCACAGATGTTTCTGAGAGTCCTATACGGTGGAAACCAGGTTTGTCTGGTGTGGTGATATCCTGCCTGTACAAATATAGCCTATCTGAAGGTCAGAGAATGGAGCTTGCCACAAGCTAACCATAGTGGTCTGGAGGTTTGTACAGACAGACAGGAAGTGAGGTAGCTGGATGGAAACAGGTTATAAGGAGGAGAAACAGGAACTCTCTTGTCCGATGAGACTCAAAGGAGGTAAGGGGTGTGGCCGTGGCTTGCTTCTTCTCTCTGATCTCTTAGTATTTCCCCTATATCTGACTATCTTGACCAATTAAGAACTCCATTTACACCTGGGACTTTCACCTACACTCCCTGCTCTCAGGGCAGCACAGACAACCCAGATGGCTTCGTGGGGCTGAGGTTGAGTAAACCTGCTTTACAGATAACCTTGATGGTTTCACTATGAGAAGGAGGCAGGATGCCAGAGCCTCCAGGTCAAAAGCTAGAGCAAGCCTCTCCTGGGCTTGGGCTTAGCTGAGGCTACTTGCTTGGTATATAATCTAAGATAAATCTTAGCTTCTCTGTCCACTTTCAGGATAATTAAATTTGCCTTCTAACATTCCAATTCATTCTCTCTCTCTCTCTCTCTCTCTCTCTCTCTCTCTCTCT